GTTATATGTATGGTATGAAACAAAACAAAAAAAAAACACAAAACAAAAAACACACCACCAAGTAGAGTAAAAGAATAGTCCCTAACCTACCTATGCAACTAAATTACCTTATGCCCTAGCCTACCTATATAATAAATTAATCTCAATCTCACCTACCTATGTTTCATTAACTTAACTCAAGACTCATGAAGAAAGAGAAAAAAAGAGTAAAACAGAACATAAGATACTACCACACAAACAAACATGATGTATTATATGTATGTATGAGCAACCGATATAGAACACACCTAAAATATAAAAAAAAATACAACATACAAACACACAAACCACAGGCAACATATATAATAATAAAATAAATAAAAATTAAAAAAATAAAATAAATGAGATCAGACAGACTGCTTCAAGCGAGGCAGAATGCCTGATCTGACTTTGGTGTTGTCTCAGCCCCTATTTATACTCGTTTCAACCATACATTTTCATCATTTCAATCATTCACCTCAGTAAAAAACTTATTTAATGTATGTACTACACTATTATACAGTCTAAACCACAATGCTAACCGTATTCAATTGACGTCATCGAACGAAAGCCTTCGAAATATTCTGATTGGCTGGTTGAATCTGCTATATTGCTTTTTATATAAACATATAATCTTATTAATTATTTGTATACATGGATTCTTATTACTTTATATATATAGATATTATAAATTCATTATAAAAGCAACAGTAATCAGTGCTATATGTGTACGCACGCAGTTCAAATTTTTCTGGGAGAATTCAAAATAGTTTGAGACCACACCTTGCTTAACATCCGATTCCATGCCGAGCCGAGCCAAGCTGAGCCGAGCCAAGCCAAGCCAGGCCCAGCCGAGCCAAGCCAAACCAAGCCAAGCCAATATGCGTAGATTTATAAGCGTTTTTATATTAAAATTTAGCTCGCTTTATATACGAACATCCCAATATAACAAATTCTCCATCCTATTTTCAAAATTTTAAATGATGCTTTTTCATCAGTCAGGTCACAATCATCATCATCAATATCGCGATGAAATCAAATTGAAAATTTTTAAAAAATTGTTATTAAAAGTAACTAGTACATAGTAAAAAGTTTAAATTTTTCTGGGAGAATTCTGAGAGAATAGTCTCAATAATTTGAGACTACACCATAACACAATTGTACAATTTGAATGTATAAATACTACATTATAAATTTATTATAAATACGTGTATATATCTATCTATCTATTTCTTTATTTAGTTTTGCCTGCGTATGATATTTGGTCAAATTTATGTGATAGGAATTGAACACAACTTTTATACCGGCTGATTAACTACCATGCAGTAAAATAACTACTGTTAACATGACGTCATTTCCTCCAACGATTTCGCAACGAATTACCGATTCAATTTAATAAATTTTATTTGATGTTTTTTAATTAGTCAGGTCACAATCATCATCATCATCATCGATATCGCAATGAAACCAAATTTAGAATTTTTTAAGTTTTTGAAAAAGTATCTTTATTCATTCTATGATACTACTTTGTTCAATGAGATACTGTTTGATACATTTAACTAGAATAAATATAACGGCCTTCGCTCACATTTAACGGTCGAACAAGAAGATTACTTTCGGACGGGAGTTGGAGGGTGATTTTTTATCGTTCGAGCCAAAAGTTACGATTTTTCTTAATTGTTGTTCAATGTGGTAATTAATTACTTTTATTTGGTATAAATTTAAAAAAAAATCAACATTACCGAAAATAATTAAAAGTTGAAAAACTTGAGATTCTTTGCATATCCCTGCTTCAACCCATAAGAAAGTGTTGTATATTGGTAAATAGGCCTCCCCTTGATTTGGATACAGCTGATCTTGTTGACATTTCTTTGTTTATTTGTCTTTGCTATTGAAGTTAAAAAATTAAATATGGCAGGCTAGCCAACTGAATATTTATTCAGAAAGATTCAACAAAATAAACTTTTATTGAATAATCGAAGTTATCTGATGGACGAATCACAAATAATTTAAAAATGTCTTTTAAAGTAAATTGAATTTTTTGTTAGAAAATGTTTGATTGGCGTAAAGTTTAATAAAAATTGTTAAAAATGACTACTGCTAACAAATACCCAGTGAAACGAAACTCATCATCGTCGTGTAAATCTTACGAATCCGGCGACGAAACCACTGACGAAACGGACGACAGCAGTTTAGGCAGATTAGTCATTGACGAAAGTGATCCGGCCTCCCCAACTTTGCCTAGCAATTTTATTGATAGTCACAACATCTCTACTGACAACAATAATCTCCACAAGAAGGATTGCAGCATGGACAATATGGACAACATCAGTTCAGCAGATGTCGCCAGGACAGTTCACAACACCGAATGCTGTGATATCTCCCAGGTCCCCGATATCAACATAGATGTAGATGCTAATGTTAACAACAACAGCAGGACCAACCACATTGTGGGCCACAAATTGCAAGAACCTCCTCATCTAATCAGCATACAGAACCTAATCAATGAAAGTAACAAAAAAAATGTGCCATCTGGTGATCAGCACCCAATCAAAATTATGAAATTTGAAATGATGGATGAGTTAGAAGTGGAAGCAATGAATTACGATAACGAGTCGTCATTTGAGTCTCCGACTGACGCAGCAGAAGGCCAGATGATACAAAAAGAGGATATAATAGATGGATTCTCATTCTACAGTTTCCACACAATCAATGATCTCGATGTTAGTGTAATTAGTGTTTGATTTATATTTATTGATTAGTAATAAACATCTTTCTGATTGTTGTAATACTAATTGCAATAAATTGCATAGCTTAATTGGAAATACCTCATCTTAATTACCCTATTCAAATTTTGTTTGAATATATACAGTCAAAATATAAGCTCATATAATTATAATCTTGATAAATGTTTTTAAATTTAATTATTTTAGGTTTATTTAAAACCACTTGCATTTTAAAAACTTATTCTTACTTAAACTGGATAATATATTTCATAATAATTTAATCGTTTTTATTATGAATAATTATGGATTAATTACTTTCTATAATGATTTTTATAACTTTTTTCTCCAAGAATTTTGTCCAGAATTTCAAATCGAAGCCATCCACAGCCACAAAGAAAGAGAAACCCCCCTACATTAATTTCTATGAAAAGAATATGTAATAATTTTATTTTATTTTATTATCACTATAATTTGCCTCATTCACTTATCTTATCATGCTTCTCAATTTGATTTCATTGCTAGCAAGTTGTAAACAGTAAGCTATAGTAGTTCAGATAACCATTTCACTAGTGTCGTCACACAGACACACACACACAAATGCATGCGCACGTACATAAACTCACAGATACAAAGATACAAAAGTCAGACCAGCAAAGCCATCATCATCATCTTCCTCTGCATCGTCGTCATCATCATCGTCATATAATACAGCAGCAGTATCATTGATATCGTCGTCGTTATCATCCTCTCAATCATCATCATCGTTTATATCAATGATTGGTCTGGTTTCATCGTCATCGTTATCATCTCAGGTGAGTTGGTTGGCTGATTGATTGGTTGATTGATTGACTGGCTGATTGATTGATTGGCTGATTGATTGATCAGTTATGTTGTCAAGATTGCAACACACTAACCATATAATAAATTGCGACGACATCGGTAGAAACAGATTTCTGAAAATGAGGACGATGTCGACGACACGTCAAGTGATGCTACTGTCGAAGAGACCATAGAAGATCGACTACTCAGCGATTACATCACCACATCAACATCAACAACAACGACAACGTCAACAACAACAACGCACTTCAACATCTGTAACAACAACAACAACAATTTTCATTCTAGTCATGTTAATACTAATAGGACAGCAACTAAGAGGCATGGTTTTTGTGGAGATAATGATGACTCTTGCAGCATTAATAAAAGATTCCTTTGGGATACAGAAAAAGATTTGAAAGTGTGTTTGTTTGTGTGTGTGTCTGTGTGTGTGTGTGTGTGTGAGTGTGAGTGTGTATGTATTTTAGTCTGTATTCTTTAGCATTTTTAATGATTTGTTTAGTATCTTGAAAGCTGGTTTAAATTAAAATTTATATTTGTTGCAATTTTCTGTTTTTGGATTCAAACTTTTTCCATCAAAAACTTCTGAAAACATGGTAAATAGTTTTGATTTATTTTATTTCATTTCATTATGCCTCTGATGTGAATGCATGTAACAGAACTAATATTTTATTATACTATATTATATATACTATATATTTTATATACTATATATTATAGCCATCTATGGAAAGCTTACGTCACAGCCCCCGGAATCCTAATCCCAATCCTAATTCTCTTCATCCTCACCATCAGCCTCACCTACATAGGCTAGAGAAAGATACAAAGTCTGATTACGAAGATACGGCATTCGAGTCGTCGAAACTCATAAAGAAAGAATTATTATACAACGATATCAACAATAACAATAACTGTAACAGCATCAGTGGTTTGTCTATGCAGCAGACGACGATTAAAAGTGAAAATAATTCATCTATGATGGTGATGAAAAATGAATTTAAGTTTTCATCCGGAATTGAGATGAAGTCTGGGGATAGTTGTCTAGAGCCGTCGTCGTCTACTTCATCTGCAACTACCGCAGCATCAACAACAACAGCGACACCTCCTAGAACATCTCCTATGATGACACCACCTCCACCATTGTTATCTTCATCATCAGCAGCCAAAACAACCACACCAACTATTAAAAATGAAAAAGATTTAAAAACCCCAAGCAGGCATAGATCGCCGACCCCAGATGATGTAGTTGTGGTATTGGATGACAGCTCAGCCAATCAGAGCGGAGTCTCTTGGGTCAGGTGGTTTCCTGGATTAGTGTATGGTCCCGATGCCAAACAGCTGAGGAATGATTCGGTTCTGACTGGCTGTGCTCGAACTGATGTTGTGTACGATGCCAGTCGCATCAAGAACAAAAAGAGGAAGTGGGTGGAAGTTTATTTTGCCCTTCATTTACCAGTAAAATTTTTTCATGTTACACATGTATAAGAATTTATCACTTGAGATGTCTTTCACTGCAAAATTGTTTGAACGTTATTTTTTTCTTTCTTTCTCTCTCTCCAGCCACCAGAAACTGAAGAAGCCAACTGTAGTTACAAACAGTCAGCCCCACAACAACTCTCACGGCCACCACCATCATCATCACCACCACCACGAACGAAAACCATCTTCATCGTCGTCGTCATCGAATGGACTGCACCAGTCGCACATTCCCTTGAAGATGGAGCCATCACCCAAACACCCCAGGATCAGACACGACAGTCCCGATCGACTGCCACCATTCAGACCACCTGCCTTTGTTCCTCCATTGCATGGGGCTAACAATTTTTGCCTACCTGTACCTACGTTAGGGGGGCTGGGGGTGACCCTTCCCCCTCAACAGCCATCCATGATGATGCCCGGCTGGTCACAGTTTGAACTTCTAGCGGCTCAAATGGCAGCAAGTAAGTTGGAGTTTGTGTTGGGAAGTTTTTCAAACTTATGAAACAATTATAAATTCACTCGCAACCAGATCAAGAAATGTTCAGGGTGCAGCAGGGTTTGAACGATCGTTTCCTTCAAGACGCGACTCTGGGAGGCCCTGGTGGAGGAATAAGGACGGTACCCCTGATAAATACTGGCATAAATATACCGATGGCGATACCAGGCTTGCAGCCCACACTGACGTTACGTACCGAGATGCACCAGCATCAACATCTCCACCATCATCAGCACGTCGTTCCTGGCGCCCCGTATGCACCGATGCCCATCATGCCCTCAGCTGTTGTCGGCGCGGCTACCGGGGTCTCGGCTCCTGGAGTCCACACGCTTCAGGTCAGTCCGCCCCCCCTCCGTTGATCAGTTGATCAATTCATACGTTGTAATGTTACATGTGGTACGCATGATATGAACGTACGTATTTTTTATTTTTCTCGCAAGCAGACCCAGTTAGCTCCTCCTCCACTTTTCTACCAGCCAACTCCTAATCTGTTTTCTCCATCTCTGCACCACAATCGAACTGGCTTTTCAAACAGGGGTGCTTTCATGTCTATGGTTAGTTAGTGATGACGTCACATCATGTGGTTTTTTGGTGAACTTATGATTAACAAATGTATGAATACTTGTATATGTATGTATGTATGTAGGTGTGTGTGTGTGTGTGTGTATGTATGTATGTATGTTTGTATGTATGTATGTTCATTTTCACCAAAAGGCTGATCATAGATTATCGTCGTCATCTTCATCTCTGCCAGCATCTCAACTGCTGGCTAAATTTCGTGATAGAGATTGGGCTAGTACTTCAACTTTTTTAACGAGTTCACACGTCCACTTATTTACACGCATGCACTCACGAAGGCACGCACATACACATACACATGCACGTATTCACACAGTACTATTTTATATCTGTACTTGGAAGTTTTTTAATTTTGACCCCTTGGGCTTTTAACTATTTTGCGGCTACTTGTTTTTCAGAAACAAGGTTCAACTAATAACAGCAGCAGTAGCAACAGTGGCAGTAGTAACACTCCGAGGCTTGGATTTAAAGGGAAGTGGTGTTCTGCTCACGTGCAACTTGCCTGGAGGATATTGATGCACTGCAGAAGTCTCAAACAACAGCCGCAACCACAGCAGCCACAGCAGCCACAACAAAATTCTGACGATGGTTCTCACTCTAAATACACTAATCCTAACTTCAAATTAGGTGATTCAAACAGCAACAACTTCTTGAATACTGCTTTTAAGTTTGCATCTGGTGAGCTTTTTTTCTTTGATACACAAATGTTTTGTCACTGTGTGATATATTTTTATATAAATTGTTTTGAAAAAAAAATAGAAATAGCGAAAATTAAATTTTTTATTAATTAAAAAATTAAATTATAAAAATACAATTCTGATTTGAAGGCGGCGTTGGTCATGTGAATTCGATGCCTTCCTCGATGAGGTTCAACTCGGCTGCAGGTTGGCCTCAGCAGGATAGGAACAATCAAGATAGCAGTGAGATCAACAAACTCATGGAGTTCGCTAGGAAGGAAAGGTTAAATTTTATCATTCCTCTTGATTGGAAATTAAAATTAAGGAAAAAAATGCATCAATTGATGGCTCTGCTATCTTTAACAGTGTCGTCGTTTTTAAACTTAACAGGGAGACTGTCCTAAGATTGAATTCTACGCGTCAGCCAACTGATGATTATCCATTCAATGCAGCATCATCAAATTACTACAACCTGCCACCTCCCTCTCAACTCCCTCCACATCTCACTAACTCATTTAGGAATGATGGAAAGCCAGGAGAACCTCCCCAGCAGCCCATGTTCTACCTCGGAGGCCAGGGTAGCAACGCTGCTAACAACAACAACATCAACAACAACAAAAGTCAGCCTGCCTTCAATCCATCGGCAAGTCCATACAGCAGCTGTTTGGATGATAGGGAGAAGAAATTACACAGAGATAGGTTGGAGTTTACGCACTGTACGTTTATAATTGTTTGAAAAACAATTGTTTGAAAACTTACGATGTTATAACTCTTCTTTAAATGTTTCTTTTTTCCTTTATTTTTTCAAATGCTTCCTTTTCCTGTCGTTCCAGGTACCTGGCCTCGAGTACAGCCAGCGGAAAGATGGTTGATGGAAGTCTCACACCATCAGCAGTCGACCAGATGTACAGAAACCGTCTGACACCCTCCTCTGTCAATCCTTTCCCATTCTTCCCCCCGCCACTCATGCAACACCAGCCAAGCCACCAGACTCTACAGAGAATGTACGGTCAGCAGAATATATCCGGTCGAAATTCGGCCAAATCCGATTACCCGTCTTCACGTCCGGATAACCTACCTCAAATGTATCCACCGGGATACGATCTATTAGGGGGTCCCGGTAGTAACAGATTTCTTGGTTCCATGTTCGACCCACTTGCAGATAGGGCGAGGTATCTGCCATCTCCCAGCAACTTACCCCCTCCCCCTTCTTGGGCCCCGTACGGTGCTGCAGGGATGTACCCACCACCAGGTCGTCCAGATTCTATTAACAAAACTAAGGGACCACAAAATTGCATACAACCGCCGCTACTACCACCATTTCGGTAGTTAGACTAAAATTACTGCTCTTGAGTGAATGATTTTTTTTTCTTACTTAGTCGTTAGTGAACTGAAAACAGTGGAAAATCACTTTGTAATTTTATATATTAAATGGAATTGATGTTTTTGAACTCTGCAGTAACGCTTAATTGGTTTTCATGTAAATTTTATTTAAAAGACACTTTTTTTTGTAATTCATTCGTCTGAGAATTTTAAGAAAAATGTTACTAGATTATTCACTGGCAACGCGTTTTCAAATTTATTTAACGATTTTAAAATTTATTTATCTCTACTCGAATAATTCAACTGTTTCACTCACTTTTGCAGATATGTTGAACACACACACACACACTAGACAGCGTACGTAAAATGAATTATTTTGTCTTCCAACTACAGTCGAAATTTATTCTTTAAACTTTCATCACAACAGTTTCACTATTTGTACAAATTTTCAAGTCTAGGCTATGTAACCTGTATCGACATGCGTACGAGTTTTTTGTTCATTGATATCATTATTGTGACATCATCATCATATATCTATTGCATATATCAATTCCATTATCATCGCCCATGTGTTGCTTCGGTTTCGATAATAAACAACGAAAACACAGACACACATACGCACTATTGCCAGCATATCTCAATTTACGTTAACTAGATGACTTCTTGTGTAATAAATTAGTGTACATTGAAAAGTATTATTACTATATTGTTTATTGTCTCTTCAGCTTGACATGTTATTTGTGTGGTCGTAGATAGCATTTCTCGTTGGTTTATTTTTAAAACAACTTTGTTTAAAAAAAAACTCATTTACACAGGCTTTTGTATAAATTTTTGTTGTTTGTGCATAAATTAAAAAATGATTCATTCAAACTTTTCTCCTATTTTCGAATTAGGTATATTTACACGCAGAGAAAAATATTATGATTCAATCTATTTGCGCCATCACGATCCGGGCAAGTTGTGTGACGAGGCGAATCCAAATCCAACACCCCTGCACGTATGAGTGGCCATCCTAGCAAACTCGTACTCCCTATCCAGTTGTTGGAAGAGTTCCTCCTGCTTCTTTCTCTGCTCCTCTGACAGCTTCGTCACATCCACGTTCGCTGGCAGTGTGCTGGAGCCGTCCTGCTTGATGCCCATCAGCTTTTTAAATTTTGCCGCCATTCTCCCGTCGTCGTCTGCCGAGAATGACGTGCCACTCCACTGCAGCTGTGATTTTATGTCCGGCTGTGGGGGAGAGGAGGAATTGAAAATGGAGATATCGACGCGCATTTGAAGTTATTTTAAATAAATTATTCACATCTGTCGTATACTACCTTGACTTCAGCTTCTTTTTCAACCTTCTCAGCAGCAGTTGCAGTAGCAGCATCTGCTTCTTTACCCTTCGACCACAGCATCTTCCTCTTCTTCAACTGTTCAGCATATTTGAGAGGATTGACAGCAGATGGATTGTAATATTTGGGAACCGCGACGCCAGTGATCTCTTGCACTTTGGCATGCATTGCAGCCATTGTCTGTGAGAGAGCCTGTTGGGCTGTGGCTTTTGAGCCACCAGCCACCATTGCCGCGAGTGGATTCTGGTTATTCAGAGGTAGTGCGCTCTTCTTCTCCTTGGCTTTTACTAAATAGACAAAGTACAGTAAAAAAAACTACTCATAAAAGCTGTTTAAAGTTTAATCAATTTGTAAAAATTTTTTATCCAACTATAACGAAGGTACGTTTAACATTTGAGAAGTTGAACCTACATAATTTAGTCTCATCCAACTGAATCTCCTTTGCAATTTCATCCGGAGTCTTTGTCTGAGCGTCAACGAACATGGCCTTCAGCTGTTCCTTGAAGTCACTGTTCTGAAGTTCAGCAAACATGGCCGGCAGTGTCGTGCCTGATTTCATGGTCGGCTGAACTGTTGGCTTGCTGGGTTTCTTCGGCGGGATAACAACCGTTTGTGTTTTGACTGGGATGACTGCTCTGGTGAAACGTGGCAACGAGTCAGACGACGATCGCGAATGATGCCTGCGTCTGCGGTGTCGGGAATGAGATCGCGACCTGCAGGTTACAAAAGTTGTGAATTCCTTTCATTAGTTTTACCTACTCTTTCATGCGTTTTAAATAGCCCAGCATTTTAAAATCTTTAAAACTTTAATTAGAAAACTCAAGACATGAAATTACTTTGATCTCCTGTGTCTCCGATGCTTATCACCATCATGCCTCCTATCTCTATGCTTCCTATCCTTCCTTCTCCTAGGAGAAACTGAAGAACTTCTGGAATCATCGCGAGTTTTACTGCTACAACTGTGATGATGGCGACGATGATGTCGATGGTGACCTTCCTTCGACCTTGACCTTGACCTCGAGTGGCCATCTCTCTGCGTTTATTTTTCGTAACTGATTTTAGCAAGGGGGTTAAAGGGTTAGTTCAGTAGTACGGAAATAATCAAACATTCATCTCTTCATGTGCATGGAGTTAGAATGAAATATTTGTACCTCCAATGCTCCATTTGCAATAAAAAACATGGCAAAATGAGAAAAAATATAATTATTGATAGACATTTTCGAGTCACACCACTTGAAACATCATACTCCTATCTGAGATTATTATTTTTAATGTTTTTTTTGCGTGATTATTTTAATGCTTCAACCTCCTTGCTTCGTTGCTCGGCGAGAATCTACATCTAAACATCTAAATCGATAAAAATGTTAGGTGCTAATTTATATAAAGCGATATCATCATGTGTATTCACACATACATTACACACACTTACACACAAACATGGAGAAAGAGACACAGAGAGAGAGAGAGAGAGAGAGAAACACAAGTACTAACTCGTTTTTTAGAATGGGAACGTGATCTTGACCTTCTTTTCATTTTGTTTTTGCCATCGCGCTGTCGGCATTCGTCATCATTTTCGCTTTTATTCTTTACATTTTTATTATCTTTGGCGCTGTTGTCATCTTTGCTGATATCTGAAATCTTTCGTTTGCGGGAGTCTGGCACTGGTGGCGAATCTTTGTCCTCTTTGCAGGTAGATTTGCCAGACTCAATTTTGTCTGATTTTCTTTCTTTGTGAGTATTCTTATCCTCTTCTTTTTCTTTGGTCGACCTCTTAAAGAGTAAATTGCTTACATGAATAAATTGTTAGTAGTTTCAATGATGAATTTAGTTTCAGGATGAAGTTTCAGAAGTGTGAATTTAACACTAACACATTTGTCTTGATTGCTTCGACTACTACTGCTGCTGCCTCTGCTTCTTTTACCATCAGTACCACTACTGCTACTACTACCACCACCATCATCATCTTCTTCTTCTTCACCGTCGTCATGAGGATCGTAAATCACTTTCTTCTTTTCAGATTCTGGGAGAAAAAATTAAACTTAGGTAAACTTTTAAATGAATAAAAAAGTATTTTAACTCGTGTAACTTTATCAGCGATACCTTTGTCCGATCTCTCTTCACAAAACTTCCTCTTCAAATTTTTTTCATCCACATTATTTTTGACATGTGATATAGAAGCAGTAGCAGTGGTAGCTGTTGTTGTTGTGGTTGCAGATGCTGTCGCCACTGTCCCAGCTACATCCTTCGTGAGTGACCTTCTGGTAAGGTCAGTTGACTGTTTGTAACTCGGATAGCTGATGGTGTTCAAGCTAGGGGGGTCCAACATGTTTTGCCCTTGCTGCTGGCTGCCTGATTTGTCACTAATCATTTTCTCAAAGTTATCCCATTCGTCTTCCATCTTCTGACTCGTCTGCTTCTCATCAAGTGAGCATCTCTAGAGAAGGTAAATAAACAAAGAAACGTAAAATAACATACCAAAGACTAATTATTTTAAAAATTAATGAAAATAATTAAACTATATAGCACATAAAAATAAATAATAAAGAGCAAACATACAAAAAAAACCTCAAACTTCACTGATTTTCTGCTAATCAATTAAGCAACCAATATCATCATTATATATAAAATTAGTTGAACAGTACCGTGGAGAAAAGTGGAGTTATGTTGGTTATTAGTTAAACCCACCGGAGAAGCATCAACAGTAGTGTAGTAGATAGATGGTGGGTGTCTTCGTTTCAGATATTAATGGTCAATGTCACCGATAGTGACACTGCACTAACTAACATGGTTTCATAATTGAATAGCAAAAATTGTTGTAAAATAAGGAATTGAAATTTTATTTTTAAGTTTAAATTACAAAGTATTGAAAAAAAATTATTATCACAAATATAATACTCTCATGCTTTCTATGTATGAGGTTTATTTGGACATGATGGCAAATTAATCAAATACTCAAAAATTAAACTCATTCAAGTAAGAATTTGAAGGAGAAATGGTAATTTGTTTCCCCAAAATGATCAGAATCTAATTTTAATTGAAGTACTGCGCAGCTAATGTAAGCTTTTAATAGTGTTTAAAATAAAAAGACAGGCACATATCACTCTACTACTTTTACATTTTTAAATTTTAAAATGATAATTTAAAAAAAAATTGATTGAAAATGACAAAAAAGTAAAATGATTATTAAATTAAATTATAAATTTGTACAAATTTTAATCATCTAACGAAAGAAAAATCGAAATACATTTGTAAAATAAGCAAATTTTCATGATATAATAATAACTCCGCAGGACCCTAACTTTTCTAAAAGAAAAATTAGTGAAGAGAAGCAAACCTCTCAAGAGTTAATTACCTTAGTAGGACTTCCAATTGAGTTCGATTCATCCATTTTGTTATCATCGTCGCTTTCGTCTCCGCTTTCGTAATTCACCAGGGAAGACATTTTTGCGAGAAATAAATTAAATTTGAATAAAATTAAGAAGATTTATACAAAATAAACACGTAACGAAGCGAACAATTTCGGTCCTAGAATGATTGGCACATGAATGCATAGACTTTTTATAGAATGATAAATACAAAGAGCTCGGAGCGCAAATAAATTTTTATTTTATCTACCGTAAATTGATAAAAATAATAAAGACGGCTGTAAATACGTTTAAAACACACTTATATTGTATTATTAATATATATTATTATATTATATATATGCATATTTTGTTATTAATTAAAAATAATACATTCATGTATGAATTTGCAGTTTATCACAATTTTTCATTAAAACATAAAATAATACAATGATATTAAACTCTCTTTCACTTTAAATTTGAATAAATATATTAATTTATAACAAAAACTTTAATAAAATTTAAAAATAAAAAATTACAAAATCATCAAACACCGATAAAAAAAATTTATCAAAACCATCAACAACAATTACATGTAAGACAGTCAAAGACGGCCTTAATTGTGCAGAGACAGAAGGCCAAAGTAGTGACCAAAATGATGAACCGGACAAATAAATCTTGTCTCCGTCTTATATCGTCAGGTTGGCCGCAGTCCTGGTCAAGGCAAATGGGACATTCAACTGGACACGGAATGCAGTGGGGATCATCTACACTTTTACCAGTTGCTGCATCAACTTTTACTGAAAATTATTAACGTTATCCTCTAAATAGTATAATCGTTAAAGATTTTTTACTATTTCGCAGTAGCGGGATCGAATTCAACGATGGGTTAAAGTCATTAACAGGCAAAAAAAAATTGTATGATGCATTGTAACATGTGATTTAGTGTAAAAATATATTAAAATATTGCATAAACAGATCAAAATTATCTTTAAATAAACCTGAAACAACAAAGAAGTACCCGCTTGGACATACCCTCACACATGTACCATTGAACGTTATATTAGGCAGGAAACAGAAATCTACAGCAAATGAGTATTCTTAAACTATAGTGCCAATATGGTACGTTGAGATATTTTTGAATTTAACTTTAGCAAATAACAGAATTGCATCTAATGTTGTTGTTGGGTATGTATAATGTGAATATTCACACAGAGCGCTATATAAATGACTTATTATTATTATTATTATTACTTTTTTTTTCCTCCGTGCCTTCATTTTCGGAAATAAGAACATGCCACTGGTGTCGTTTATTGTTTCTATCGACATAGAACCTCTCCACAATCTTCTCACTCTCTAGAAATTATAATTATTATTCATAATTATCATCCATAATTATTATTCATAATTATTATTCATAATTATTATTCATAATAATGGCATGATGGCTCACTGGCTAAAGGCGCCTGGCCTTGCTGCTGCAGTGACTGGGTTCGAATACAAAGAGATCCCCGACTATCACATGCAATGTGTATGATGTGTGGTTTGCACGTGTTGTGTGTGTTTGTCGTTGAAACCTCTGAAGCAAGAACAAAAGCGAAAGAGAGTAACCTTTAACCTTTATTATTCATAATTACTATTCATAATTTTTATTCATAATTAATTATTTATTTATTCATAATTATAGTTAAACAAAATTGAATAAACATCTATATATATAATCACTCAAAATTCTATTACTTTTTTTCATTTCTTCATTTTTAACAACGCTCGCCAATTGCTTGTCGTCTAAAACATCTGACGAAAAGAATAATAATATTAATATTAATTACTATAATTAATAATAATTAATAATAATAATATAATTATCATAATCTGATTTAATCAATTAATTATAACTTATTAACTTTTTCTGTCAAAATCATCAGCTCCTTCTTCTTGCATATTGGGATCTGAGTGTAACATGAAGTCCGCATGATTTTTACCTATATAAATATAAAACAGCCATAATTTTCATAAAAATAATAATAATAATAAAACAATAATAATAAGTAAAAATATCAATAATAATTATAAATATAATAATAATTATTATTATTATAATTATCAAATAAATGTGCCTTTGTTAGATTTAATGTCATATCTGTCGAACACTTTTGGCTGCTCGTCTGTGCCGTAGAACTCCAAATACCATCGAATAAGATGGGCTATAATTACATAATAATTATAATAATAATTATAATAATATTAATAATTATTATAATAATGATAATAATGATATAATAGTGGATGGAGTAGTAGTAGTAGAAATAAATGATTGATTGACTGAACGAAGGAATGAAGGAATGAATGAAGGAATGAATGAATGAATGAATGAAGGAATGAATGAATGAAGACTAAAGATTAGCTAAACTCACAAGAGGTTTTTCTATTTTTAATTTTCAAGATCCAAAGACCGCTTGGGTCTTCGCCCCAGTAAAACAGAGAAAGGAACGACCATTCATTGAAACCTTCGTTAGTCAAATCTTTTGGTCGTCTGAAGATTATTTAATCATACACACATACACACACACACGCACACACACACCACACATACACACACGCACATTCATAAAGAAGTATACACACAGTTTGATATGACCTCAAAATTCTGCAAGAAAAAGATTTAAAACAGTTAAAAAAAAGAACTTTAAACTTTTTAAAACTAATTCATCGCTATATAATTTCTTTCCCACATAAACATCAGCTGTGACGTAGTTCCGGTTGGCGACATGAGAAAGATTTCCACTTGACCTCTGAACTCTGCGTTTAGGGTGATGACGCATAGGACATGCTCCAGGTATAAAACCCTGTTCTCCTTCTCATTATCGTCCTGGCAACCTTTCATTCATTCATTCATTTATTCATTCATTCATTCATTCATTCATTCATTCATTCATTCATTCATTCATTCATTCATTCATTCATTCATTCATTCATTCATTCATTCATTCATTCATTCATTCATTCATTCATTCATTCATTCATTCATTCTTTCATTCATTCATTCATTTATTCATTCATCCATCCATTCATTCATTCTTTCATTCATTCTTTCATTCATTCATTCATTCATTCATTCATTCATTCATTCATTCATTCATTCATTCATTCATTACGATATACAAATCTTGAAATTCCATTCTACGTTCTAGTTCTCCTTACCTTTCGAGAGTAACTCGAAATTCTTGGAATCCCCATTGGGTACTGTGCCTCTATTAATTATTATTATTAATTAATATTAATTAATATTATTAATTACTATTATTAATTATTGATTTGACTATTAATTATTGATATCAATTAATATTATTGACTACTATTATTAATTTAATGTTATTGTTATGTTGCTATTATCCACACACACACACACACACACACACACACACACACACACACACACACACACACACACACACACACACACACACACACACACACACACACACGTACACACACACACACACGCACACACACATACTCGTATAAATAACCGAGAACTTCAGATCTGCAGTGATGTTGCTCGGGAACCTGGGACCAACTGGACGACTGTCTTACCATCTCCAAAGCGTCTACCAAACCAAAACCAAAGAAATGACTTACTGCTTTGTCGTAGGATTTGGTTGAATGAATTGAAGAAGAATGAATGAATGAATGAGTGAATGAGTGATTGAATGAATGAATGAATGGATGAGTGAGTGAATGAATGAATGAATGAATGAGTGAATGAATGAATGAATGAACGAACAACCTTTCAATCCGATACCATTCGTAACCCAGTCGTTTGTCTTGAGGATCGGTTGTGCTGTGGTGATGAGTAGGTACTGTACATCTCTCCATGTTAAGCGTTTGCTTTGGAGAAAATCGGCGAGAAATTTGATGTATGCGTATGTGTGTGTGTGTGTGCGTGAGAGAGAGAGTGTGTGCGTGTATGTGTGTGTATGTGTGTGTGTTTACTTGATTTGGAGAGCTAATGCGATAATACCGCTGACGAAAGGACCACTGGCAGAAGTTCCGCCGAAGCTCTGCGTACATTTCTTCCTTGTCGTTGTTGTCGACTGTGTGTACGTGTTTGTACGTGCATGTACGTGTGTGTTTGTACGTGCATGTACGTGTGTGTTTGTGTGTATGTACGTCTAAGAAATTTTCAATAACACGCCAAAAAACAACACGTAAAAATACAAACAATGAAGCCGCTATAGGCAGAGACCATGATGCCAGAGCAAGGCTCGCTGTAAGCAGGAATGGTATGTGCCCGGGTTGTCGCTGATACCTTGTGGTTTTACGCATTCTTGTGGTTATTGTTATTATTATTATTGTTGTTGTTGTTATTATTGTTATTATGATGTGATGAGCTTCTCAGATTAATACTCTATTCATTGTATTTTACATTTTTATTTTATTTCATCCGTACTATCATTTCCATTGCTTTTATTGCTGAATAAAAGATTGTTCCCATTATTATTGTTATTATTATTATTATTATTAGTGTTATTATTATTGTTATTATTATTGTTAATGGTATTGGTATTGCAACTCACAGATATGGTGAACATGCTATTGGTGAATCCATCGGCCCCACACCCATCATGGATTCCACCATTGCCTGAGGCCCACACGTATATATTCCCCAACCCATTTCTACCCTAATTGGTTTTTTAATCACCATTTATCTGTAACAGCTGTGGTAGTAGTAGTAGCAGAAGTATAAGAACGTGAAAAAAAAATTTCAAAGAATGTAACTTTTGAAACTCCGTAGAAAATTGCTTGGCTAAGCATCTCCTCCGGTCTGTCTAAGACTTGGCCACTGTCACTTGGCCCCCAAGAGTTTGAATAAATATCAGTGAGATGGAGTTTGTAGGTCAGGGCCTGGCTCTCTTCTACGTCACTCATTTCAAAGACGTTTATTCTTATTGCTGGTGGGTGTTTGACCAATTTTGGCGGCATTGTCGGGTTTGATTTTTTTTTAATTTTTTTTTTCTAATTTTTCTTTCAAAAAGCGTCAAACATTATTACACAACGTAACGTATCTGGTAGAAAATATAATACGAACTACAGTACACACAAAAGAGTACAGTGCAATACGCACAATACAATACACTGCAGCATATACAAACCACACAATACAACTTGTATAAATACCCAACCACCGATTTTGGCATTATAAGCCACGCCAGCCATGCAGATGCTATTGTTGGCTTCTGCAGCTATGATGCCAGCACAACATGTACCATGGCTGGGAGAATAATTATGACAAGGTATTAATATTTTTAATTATAAATAATTATTAATATTTTAATTGTTAGTAATTATTAATATTTTTAATCATAATTAATTATTAATATTTTTAATTGTTAGTAATTATTAATATTTTTAATTATAAATAATTATTAATATTTTTAATTGTTAGTAATTATTAATATTTTTAATTATAAATAATTATTTATATTTATAATTGTTAGCAATTATTAATATTTTAAATTATTAATAATTATTAATAATCATGAACAGTTACAAATAATTATTAAAACCTGCTTTCAACGCTTCCTAAGTTAAGGACCGGTCTTGGGTCAGCATCGCCATCCGTTACATCGTAGCTTATCAGGCTATTCTTTACAGATAGTATGAAAATATATTTGAATTTGTTATGTGAGGTTTCACAAGTATACATCTCTGTATCTAATCTAAACCATGACAGACAAATTTAACGCAAATGAAAGTTTAAAATTTAGCGCTACATAATTTTTAGCAAGATCCGGGTGATCCCACTCGAGGCCATCATCAACCACGACAACGTTTATTCCGGATCCGGATACGTTGAAGGATGTGTAGGCCTCCATGATGTTCATCTTTCCAGAATTCTAGAGTTCAAATGTTTTAAATTTGTTTGGTTCAAACCTGGCAAAAAAAAAATCTTCCCAAAACCTCTTACCAGGTACCACATATCGGGGGAGAAAGGATCGTTAAAGCTTATTTTATTCCTTACTCCTCGTCGCTTGCTGATCTGTTGCTTTGCCCAGATGACCTTACGATTGGTGTTTGTTTGATCATTCATTCGTTCGTTCATTCATTCATCCAGACATCTATCTAAGCAGCGAAAACGACAACAGCACTTAACCTTTTCGTCGCCGACCAACTTCGTATGAAACATCCAATCCTTGGTTAGGGAGCGCTTTTTGACGGACGGATTTGAGAACCGGAAGTATCCCGGAATTACCGAAGCGACGAATCGAAAACCGTTTCTATCCGCGACCAACCTCGCGACCTGCTCATCGCCATTTATTTTCACTGCCCATTCATTTCTGTACAAGGCTGCTCGTGTTAGCGAGAGATGATTAACATACATAGCGACTATTGCTATAAAACAAATTTGAGATTTACATCCTCTATTTAAATGCATTTGCCGATAAATCGTTTATATATTGCTAACAAATTAAATCTGATTAAATTAAAAATGTTAAAATTAATTTGGGTTGAATAATGTCGGCCTGATATAGTTAGCAAAATGTGAAAAGACATCTATTTATTTGCGTGTTATGACGCACCGGTGAATAACATGGAGTAGAAAGTGCTAAGCATTAAATGAATTACGTTCAATATATTTTTTCCAATTTTAAATGATTTTTCCATAGATTTCCCATCAAAAAACTAAAGTCACTGTGGTGTATTACTCTCTATAAGTAAGGTGACCGCAATGAACTAATAAATTCATTAAAATTATAAAAAAAATCATCCATCTGGTCGATTCAATTGAATGTGGTGCTACTCGGCGACACAAGCTGTGGAAGTCACTTCACTAGCCACACTACTAAAACTAAGTTTGATAATAAAGGCCAGAGACGAGCAGAGAAAAACAGAAAGATAACAATTTACTTGAAAAGTGACAGAGAACCATGGAACCGCTCAGACAAAAGTTACACTGAGCGTAAGATCACAATTCAACAACAACTGCATTAACAAATTAAAATACATCTTTGTCAATAAATATTTAAAGATATAATGGAACGAATAATCATAATGAATAATAATAGTCATTATAATATAATAATAATTATGATAATAATAATAATCGTCGTCGTCATCATCACCATTCTTTAAAAAAATCATCATCATCATCAGCGGTATTGGTAAGGTTTTTCTGTTTATTATTTTGAGATGAAAGTTTCAAGCTATTTTTAGTCTTTGGTGCCAATACGGAAGAAGATGATGACGTATTTGTTGTCGTTGTTGATGGCTTTGTTGACGTTCCTTTCTTATCTGTAAAAGAGAGCAAGAAGAAAGTTAATTTGCAATTACTTAAATAATAAACAAAACATTACCATCATTAACCCAGGAATCTATAGACCAATCAGACTCATCCTTTCGTTCTGCCCTCATTTCTGACTGGCCAGCTAGATTTCTAGCTCCTCCCAAACTGCTGCTATTGGATGCGTAACTCTGGGTCGATGGTTTATTTATAGAAGTTTTTAAGGGCCTCGATGATGATGAATTGGTTTTTTGTTGCTGGGCTGGCTGCATTGAAAAAAATAAATTAAGTAGAAATGCATGCCACATGCTATACTCGACATATGTACAATGGTAAGTGGAGAAACATTCATCATCCATTCATTCATTCATTCATTCATTCATTCATTCATTCATTCATTCATTCATTCACTCATCAAAACAAAACCTTTTTACTCTCACTGGAGACCAATAAACTATTGAAAAATTCATCATTATCAGCAACATCAGCGCTACCACTATCAGCACCAAAGAACCCAAAATTTGAATTTTTTGTCGTTGTCTTGTCCCAATTATAAGAACTAGCGGGGTTGTGTCCAGAGGTAGGGACAAACTCTTCCGATTGGCTACTTTCAAATTTGGCTCCACCCACGTTCTCCGTCGCCGACCAATCGCCGTCGTCGATATTATCGTCGAAGTCCCAACCGTGTGTTGATGTTTTGTTGATTGAGTGTTGCGGCTTGGATGGTTTTCTTTGTTGCTGTTCTGCTGGGGTAGCTTTCGTTCTGTTGCTGCCTCGTTGCGAGTCCGTTGCAGGCTGTCTCGGTAGGAGGAAACATTACGTAGGTTAGGGTAAAAGTTGTCGCCATTGCAACACGCAACGTGAGAATCTCAGAAGAATTTCAATAGGAAATGATTTAGCAGGAGTTAAAAATGTACTTACAAATTGAAAAAAAAATAAACCAATCCAGAAAATTCCCTCACAAACTAACCTCCATATCCCCCCATTCCTGGTCCCCCCACCCCACCTCCTCACCGTCATCATCATCAGCAGCAGCAGTACCATGATTATGATTATCTTTTACGATGACGTCATCGTTCCCGTAATCACTGCGATCGTCCTCGCCATCTTCATCGTCGTCGTCTTTGTACGTAGATTTTGAAATAGCCGACTGACCAGGATTCGATTTTTTAATCTCAACCTTCTTTGTTGAGTTACTCGCGGCTTTTAAGGCACCAACAGCGGATGAAGTGGCAGCTGTTGTAGCTGTAGTGGTAGCAGCAGCAGCAGCTGAGATTGGTGTGGGGACAGTAGTTTGTGGGCCTTTCTTACTTGAGTATATCTTACTAGTGAGAGATGTCATTCCAGAAACTGCCCAACCAGCCCAGCCGGACGTGTTGGTCGCTCCCAATCCGCCCGCGTTCACTTCCTTCTCCACCTCAGCAAGCAGATCCGGATTTTCAGAAACTTTTTCAAGCTTTCCAAGAAAGCACTTGATGGATCTGAAGACCTGTTTGCAGGCATGGGGAGAATAATTCCACTGAAAAATACCGTAAATGAATTAATTAATCATTAGTATGTTCGTGCACTCACTCAATCACTCATTCATTCATTCATTCATTCATTCAATCATTCATTCATTCATCACTGATTCACTCATTCGTTCCTCTAACCTGATCCCTAACAGTTTTATCAGGGTCCATAGACATCTGGCACAAAGCGGGCAGCAGTCTGCATGAAATATGATCAGATGAATGGATGGATGGATGGATAGATTGATGGATATGTGCCCCCAACACCACCACCACCAACACCACCACCATTAACATCAACACCAACCTCTGTGAACTTTCTTGCAGTGTAAAAAAGTTATGGGTGGCTGACATTGCCAAAATGCCGGCCTGCCTCGCTGGAGGGAAGGGGTCCTTAAGAGCCCTCAAAAAGGCAGACGACAGCACCCTCTGGCGGACTTGGGGGTGGAGATAGCAGGCCACCTTACCAAGACAGACGGTGGTGTTAGTTCGAATGCCACCCTGGAATGTAGGACGGTTGATGGAATGTAGTTGAATTAGTGGTTTTACTTACGCGTGTGTGTGTGTGTGTGTGCGTGTGTGTGCGCGTGCGGTCAAGTAAGACTGATGTTGAAAAGTTCGTTAAAATCCACTCATCAGTCAAATTAGTTGCTATAAAAAAAATCATCATCATCGTCGTTGTCGCCATCATCATCGTCGTCATCATCACCTGATCATCTTTAGACTGGAGTCTTGCAAAATGCTTCAAAAGTTCCTCATTCAAATTCTTGTAGTTCAGTTTGCAAGCCAGATGAAGCATACTCTAAGTAAGACATTATCATTATTAATAACATTATCATCGCCATCATCATCGTCATCATCATCGTCGTCACCATCATCATCATTACCGTCACCATCATCATCGTCATCTTCACCACCTTGATAGTTTGTTCCCTGACAACCGGGTTCGAATCCATGAAGCCGCTGACGATTGAAGGGAAGATTTGATCATTGACAACTTGAGGACTGAGGTGTTCGGCGAATGATTCGATCTGATTGGTCAATTCAAATTTGAAACATCCAATTTGATTGGTTGATTTCAATTTAAAAGATTCAATATGATTTGGTGAGTGAAATTCGAAAGTTCCATCTCGAATGAACGAGTTAATGTAACTCAATGACCAACGGATCACACTTGATTGGTTCATTTAAATTCAAACGAATAAATCTAACTGGTCGGTTTAACATGATATTTTGGATAGTGGGTGTGGTTTATTTTGATGATAAAAATAATATCCATTCATGAAACCTGCTGAAGTAACTTGACCCTGGTAGTTCGGTCAGTTGATGAGAAAAGTTTCACAACACATGGAACCATCTTCTTTTGATACTCTTCTGTACTCAACAGCTTGCCAAGCTGTATGCGTGCGTGCGTGCGCGTGTGTGTGTGAGTATATGTGTGTTTGTGTGTGTGTGAAGTGAGCGTGTGTGGAGATGTGTGTTGTGTGTATGCCTCATTAATATTCATATATTCAACAATTATTTATGACCTCAGGGTCAAAGAAACAACCGACTGACCTTGAACAGAGGGGCGAGAACGGACGACCCGACGTTACCATACTCGAAGGCGTGCAACAGCTGTGGAAGTATCTTCTGCTTGCAAAATGAGGTCGGAAAGAGGTCAACTATTTGTGTCAGGCCGTTGAAGAATTGAACTTTGGCCTCATTATCTTGAATCTGATTTGTCAGAAATATTGGGTCTCTTATTGAGTTCTTTACATGAGTGAGTTTAGAATTGCGAATGAATATGAATAAGATAACACAAATAGTTCATGTTAACCTAGTTTATAGACCAAAATTAAACAAAGAAATGATAAAAAATTAATCAAAAAACAAAGAAATGATAAAAAAATATTAAAAAACTAACTTGAATTTCTTCAAGGAAAAGCATTGTAGTAACGAATTTGTTATTCATGAATCCATCTGGGGCTCTGCATGACTCGATAAACTTGTTGGGGTTGGGTCGAGATTTCGGATTGGCCCCAACGAGCTCACAGTAATTAGGGATTAGTGATTTAGGAATCTGTAAGAAGAAAAATAACTAACCTTCGAATTATAGAAACAACTAAATTCCAAAAAATAATTTCAGTTCAAACAGTAATTAGGGATTAGTGATTTAGGAATCTGTAAGAAGAAAAATAACTAACCTTCGAATTATAGAAACAACTAAATTCCAAAAAATAATTTCAGTTCAAACAAATTCTACAACAAAATTAGACAAGAAAAATTTAAGCAAAACTCAATCAAAAAATTCAGAAAATAAAATTTTAAAAGTGAAAATAAACTAAAATGCCCTTGTGGTACCTTGCCGGGGTTTTTAAGGGAGGTGCTCTTAACGAAGGGCCCATTGAAGACCTCCCATGTCAAACAGCCCAACCCCCACATGTCAGATGACCTGTCAAATTAACATCACTATGATGTCATTTCTCTAAGCTAGACACTAATGTAAACTGCTGTAATTAATTAATATAATTTAAGAATTGTAACTGATGTGATTTTTGTAACAACTTGTAACCACTGCAATCAGTATAATACATACCATTTTTCACCAGGTTTTTTTGTAATTTTTTCAGGAGGATCATATTTCTCGAGATATGGCAGTCCCTTAATGATGGGGGTAAAGGGGTCCTGGCTACCCCCGCACGTCTGGCTGTACTCCATGCCACCCAGCTTCCATTCCCCAGCTTGATCAACAAAAACTGAAGACAGATTGACGTTGTTGTGCACGAGGTTGCAGTCGTTTATCAGGAAACTCAATCCTTTCTGTGTTAGTGAATTAGTAAAAATAGGGATGTGACATGTTGTTGGTTTTTAATTTACACAAACTAACAGCTAACTGATGGAGGCCCCAAGATATGACGAGCTGTTGAACTGGCCCCTTCTCGTCATTCAACTGTTCATCCAGGTATGTTATCAACGGTGTTATGGGCTCTGTTACTATATAACATGATTTTTCTGTCTATGGAAAGAAATAATTATCATAATTAATAATATAATTTTAAAATATAATTATCATAATAAATGTTATAATTATGTAATTATTCATGATAGTTTGGAATAGAATGAAAAATGTGGTCATATACATACACTTTCATACTATAATAAGAAAGCGAGAAGGAGATTTTTTATGAATAAATTATAATAAATTAACATATATTAGCATATACTTGTGTCGTTGAATTACACTAACTTCTAGGCCGTCGAGATAAATTATGAAGTTTGGGTGTCTTAATGTTTTAACTCTCTTGAATGCAGCTTTGATGAGCATTAACTATAATTATTATATATTTTTATATTATAATTATGGTAAATATTATTTTTCTTATTATTTATTATACCACATTAAGATTTATTTTCACACTTTAAAAAGAAAATAAATTCTAAAAAATTATTAAAAATAAAAAAATGTTTAAATCTAAAAACTTGAGAATCATTTCCAGCTTTGCCTTCATAAACAAATATGGACACTGAATCACCATTTGACTAGAAAATTTATTCAAAATAAAAAAGTTAAATTATTTGCAGATAAAAAAATCAAATTATAATATAATAATTACAATATAATTTTATCTATAGCACCTTCCTCTTTCCATGGTGAAGGGACCAGAGAGATTTTTCATTGAGTTCAGCAACCTGGGGTCCTATTTCATATGCAAAGTCTTTTATTGGATCTCTCGAAAAGAATGACCACATGACTTTTCTAGTTCTTCTTATTTATAGTCTTTGTATAATTTATTTCAAGATAAAAATTTAACAACAGTATCAGCGACCTTACCTAATTTTCAGCAAAAACTTAAAAGAACCACGTCACCAACATTGGCAACAACACAGTTGTAAATCAGAAATTTGTTAAAAATTAAAATTAAACAAAACAACAATTGAGAAATACGGAGAGCAAAAGTGAAAGCAATATTGGAAAAACCTACTGGGACGAATTAGGTAAAATAAACGATTAAACTTTTAAAATAATGCCTAATTTGAATTTTAGAAATAAATATTTATATTTATAAAATCGGACACTGTTGCTTAAAATGTAATTTAAACGTTATAACTCATTTAAATGAAAAGGCGCCTAACTATAATATTGCGTTCGATTTCAGCATATATCAAGCCACAACCAAATGAAACATTTTCACAAAATTGAGTAGTTAGATTGAGTTTAGAATATTAATTACTACATAAATCTAGTTTAAAAATTACTAACTCAATTCACTAAATCAGCGTCCTAAAAATCGAACTATAGACAGTGTATAACGATTCGATCAATTCAAGATGATATATATCAAAAATCTCCAAATTTCCATTACCAATTGATATATTTTCATTCTCAGGAGATAGGATACTACATGAACCTGGTAACAAACTAACAGTTTCATTCAATGCACCAGCCGCGCATTGAAATATACTAACCGGACACTGTTCAAACAACTGAAAATTTAAGCCATTCAATCAAGATCAGGTATATTAACTCGCAACAACAGAAAATTTCGTTTATTGATAATATTATCATTAATACAACACTATTGATTCAATCGTTGAGGAATTAGTGAAGTGCAAACTCGAAGTAATTCTATCCCAGAATTGATAATAATTAATTCGGCTGACCCTAGCCCTGACCATAGCCCTGACCCTAGCCCTGACCCTGTACATTTATATCTGTTTGTATATTTATTTCATTGTACGAGCCAAAGTTAATGGATGGTTGCCGAAGCAAGTCAACAACAACAACAACAATAATAATAACAATAACAATAACAATAATAATAATAATAATAATAATAATAATAATAATACTTCTACAACACTACTACTACTACTAATAATAATAAAAAAAATAATAATAAAAGTAGTAGTAGTAGTAGTAGTAGTAGTAGTAGTAGTAGTAGTAGTAGTAGTAGTAGTAGTAGTAGTAGTAGTAGTAGTAGTAGTAGTAGTAGTAGTAGTAGTAGTAGTAGTAGTAGTAGTAGTAGTAGTAGTAGTAGTAGTAGTAGTAGTAGTAGTAGTAGTGGTAGTAGTAGTAGTAGTAGTAGTTATAGGCCGTATTGTTTCCAGTATGTCGTAATTAAAAATTTGAAAAAAAGAAAAAAATAAAAAAAATGGAGAACTGTTTTTAGAAGATGATGACGTAAATTTAAAAACAAAAAAACATGAGATTGCGCTCAATTTATACACACAAATATAGAAACGTATAGAAATGACACATCAATAAAAAAAAAACGATATATGTACACGTACACGTATCAATATATATACACCAATAAATTATGGTCGGCGTCTGTGAATGACTGTCTTGACTAGTTCACCGTGAATGCACACATACATCCACACACACACACACACACACACACACACACACACACACACACACACACACACACACACAAACACACACACGCACACACACACACATATATATATTATTTATATACTTAGTGGATAAAACATTGCAATACATAAAAACATACAGTGTACATATAACTTATTAGTGTATCTCAACAATATTATTTTTTCTTAATCTTGCAAATGAATTTAAACGTGTTGGTGTGTGCGTTTGTGTATGTTTGTGTGCGTGCGTGTGTACGTTACCACCATTTTGATTGGCTGTTGAGGTACTGGCAGCCAGTCAGACCATCCGTGCCACTACCGAAAAAGCCACCAAAAGAATTATTGTTGTTATCCTGAAATGACACGCCCCCGTAACCGTACAACGCATTCGATTGGCTATAAGCGAGTTGGTTAGCTCCGCCTCCAGACAGAAAGCCGTAATATGATTGGCTGGGAAGTGAGTATTGAATGTTATTATTGTTGCAGTTAATGTGAACGCTGTGTGCGTAAGATGGGGGATTGATGTACGTGATGTCAGTGGCTTCAAATGCTGGGGGTAAGTTTTCTAGAAACTTCGGTGACGATTCTGATCTGATGATGTTGTGGTTGTGGTTGTTGTTGTTGATGATGTTGTTGTTGTCGTTGTTGTTGGTTGGAATGGTTGGATAGGTGGTGATGCTGTTGTTGGCCACACACGGCTTGCCGTCCTTCACCAAAACTGGAACCTGCACTCTGATGTTTGTGTGTGTTTGTTTGTGTGTGTGTTTGTTTGTGTGTGTTTGTGTGTGTGTGTTTGTTTGTGTGTGTGTATGTGGTTGCCGATGACGTCACGATGATGATGTTTATGATGGCGACAAAAATGATCAAGACATCATAACTTAATTTAATTAAAGGCAAATATTTATAACACATATGATGGCGGATCTAAGATAGGGTTGAGATACATGAGGGGCAATAACCTTTCTAACCAACCAGGCGAGAAAACTCAATGAGTGCAATTTCCAATTTTTAAATAATTTTTAATAAATATAATAAATAATTAACTTTTTAATAAATATAATAAATAATTAATTTTTAAAAAATAATTAATTTTTAATAAATATGATAAATAAATAATTTTAAATAAATGTAATAAATAATTAATTTTCAATAAATAATTAATTTTTAATAAATATAATAAATAATTAATTTTTAATAAATATAATTAATAACTAATTTTAAATAAATATAATAAATAATGCTTCTGTGATTTTTCACCTCTTTGGGACAGTTGCCAGGAAGTTAGCATTCTGATTGGTCGGTGGCGATGACGTCATGCTAGGATTTTGACCAATAGCAACGCCCTGTTCCACGCAGTACCTCTTATACTGCTCAGTCATGCCATAGTCGACGTTAACATCGAGCAGTCCGCTCGCTCCACCCACAAATGCCATTCCACCTATCAGATTGAGGCCTTTTGAGTGACTGGCAGACGATTCGAAACGATGATTGGCCGTGACGATGGCCGATCTTTCCTGGCGGGCTTTTTTCATTTTGTAGCGGTGATTTTGAAACCAAATTTTGACTTGGGTGGGGGTGAGACGGAGTAGGGTGGCCAGGTGCTCCCTCTCAGGGGCGCTCAGGTATCGCTGCTGGCGAAACCTCCGCTCCAGCTCGTACGTTTGTGACTTAGAAAAGAGAACGCGTCGTTTTTTCTTCTTATTTGATGCGTTGTTGCTGCTGCTGCTGCTGCTACCGAGGTTGTTTGTCGTTGTCGATATGTGGCTGTTGTGGTTGCTGCTGTTGCTGCTGCTGCTAGCTAAGTGGTTGAAGTTGGTCGCTGCTGTCGACGACGATGGTGTCGTTGAGTTGATGACGTCATCGCCGTCGTCATCGTCATCGTCGTCGTCGTCGTCGTCATCATCCTCGTCATCAATCTTATCGCCTCCGAATGAAGTTTTATTGAATGGTAAATGTTGTTGTTGATGTTGTTGATACTGTTGTTGTTGTTGGTTGTTGTTGTTGTAGTTACTGATTAGAGGCCCGTTCAGAAAGATTAAGCTGTATAAGCTGGAAGGAGTGTTGCTGTTTGTTGTTGTTGTTGGTGTTGTTGTTGCTGCTGCTAATGTTGTTGCTGCTACTGGAACATTTTCAGTCGGTAATATATTATTGGCTTTGGAGAAATCTCTGGCGGGGATTGGTTGGAAAGTTGCAGTGGCTTCGTACGAGATTCCTAGATTGTTTAGTTTGAAATAATTCGTACCAATGTTATTGACCTCTGAATCGCTCGTGTGAAAATTGCTGTTGTTATGGTTGACGATGTTGTGGCTGTGGTTGACGATGTTGTGGCTGTGGCTGACGATGTTGTGGCTGTGGCTGACGATGTTATCGCTGTGGCTGACGATGTTATCGCTGTGGCTGACGATGTCGTGGCTGTGGCTGACGATGTTGTGGCTGGAAATGACGTCATTATCATCGTCGTCGTTGTTGTTGTTGATTGAAATGCTGTTAAAATCTAATGCGCCGCTGATGAGTTTGCTGTTAGTGTTCAAGAATCTATTATTCAAAAAGTTGTCTTCAAAATTATTATTATTATTATTGTTGTTGTTATTGTTGTTGTTGTTGATGTTGTTGTTGTTGTTGCCAATTTCAAATACATCAAAGCCAATTTTAACGCTGTTGCTTATGTTATTCGAGTTTTCCTTCATGATTAAATTGATGTTATTGTTGTTGTTGTTGTTATTATTATTATTAATGTTACTGTTGTTGATGTTTTTGTTTATATTTGTTGTTGTTGTTGATGTTGTTGGGAGGTCAGTGCAATATTTTTTAAAATCAACGAAAAATTTGTTAGCCGCGCTCCCGTCACTATAATCAGTTACTGTTGCAGTTGTTGTAAGATATGTTATATTGTTGTTATTGTTGCAATTGTTGTTGTCGTTGTTGTTATTGTTGTTGTTCGTTATTGTTGTTGTTGATGATTTTACGAATGGATTGAAAAGATTTGCTATGTTAGGAGGTATGATTTTGGTTGTATCTGTTCTATGTTGCTGTTGTTGTTGACGTTGTTGACGTTGTTGTTGTTGCTGTTGTTGATTTTGTTGTTGGGACGATAATAAGCGACTTTGAAATGTTGGTAGAGGAGGTAAGGGAAAATAATTTAAAGAAACATCATCGTCTGATAATAATTTGTCGGTTTTGTTGTTGCTACCGATGTTGCTGTTGTTGTTGTTGATGTTGTTGTTGATGTTGTTGTTTTGGGGCATTTCTGTTGGGATGTTTGTTTCATATTTCGTGCTGTTAACAATTTTAATCTTTGGTAACGTTGATGTCGTCATCATTGTTGCAATTGATGTTGATGTTGTTGATGTAGTTGTTGTTGTTGTTGTTGTTGTTGTCAATAATAGCGCGTTATTAAAACCGTATTTTACGGAAAAAGCATGTTGCTGGGTGAGTAACTGTTGTTGTTGTTGTTGTTGCTGTGGATGCGAATTCTGGTATGATTGTTGTTGTTGTTGATGCTGTTGGAATGGCGACACTTTACTTGTATGCATCTCTAACCTAATGCCGAGTTATTAAAAATGCTAAATATTTAATCATTCAGGAGAAAATATAAAAGAGAGTTACGACAAACAAACAACAACAACAACTACTACTACTACTATTACTACTGCTACTACTACTACTACAACTACTACTACTACTACTACAGCTACTACTATAACAACTACTACTACTGCTACTACTACTACTACTATTGCTACTACTAC